GGGGGGGTTGGGGGTTTTGGGGGTTAATTTAGGTGTTTCATATATTGTGTTAGCTAGCTAATTAATAGAGAGAAGTGTCCTCTCTTATGTCCGTGCTTGGTCGACGCTACGTACTATATACATATAGCCGTCGACACGCTAGCTAGTAAGAAAATAAAGGGAACCATTGAGTACAGAAGTTCGTCATACATACCGAGAGAAATGATCGATCGACCTCTCCTCCGAGAGATTGGTCGAACAACAAGTTTTCGTATCATGTACGTCCGACGCTACAGGCTACATACATGTACAATATATAAGATCTCTCAATTACAGTCCCCTAGCATTTGAAATCAACTTCCACATGGTATTCTCCGGCTTTATTGATGACGTGGTCAAGAAAGAATCCCGCCAATTCCTCTTGAATTGCTTTCATGTGATCTGGTTCTAGGAGTTCATTCCGCATCTGCCACGTCTAATTTGAAGAAGAGGGTTAATTAATACATATATATGAATGAAACTCAATAGAAATGATGGTGTAATAAAATGAAATTGTGAATATTATTGCTTACGCACTTCATATTGTCTTTGAGAGTAGCCCCGCTTGTTTTTCAAAGTCGCGGTGTGGATGAACTCGCACACGTAGTATCCACAGAAATCATTCCCTTGTTCCTGCCACAAGCACTTTACGAGAAATAGAGGTCAATCAAATTGATAATGAAGCATTATAAATGGCATTGATGAAAATATAGCTATAGAATCAACGGGAGATGCACGCAACTAGCTAGCCAGTAGTACTTATTTTCGGGTATGTATATCGTAGCTCCTTCGGCAGTCCCGGAGCTTTTGCGGTGAACTGTTTCCAAACCCTGCAAGACAAAGAAAATAATTATTATTACTTGAGATATCAGGAAATGAACAAAAAGTTGCTGATATGGTGCGATAATGATCGATTGAACTTACTTGCTGAGCATTTCAGTCATGTCCGCATAGGTTTTGGGATCTTTCTGTCTCGAGTCTAAGACGGTTACTAGTCCATGCTCAAGCTTAATCTCCGGAAGAATATAGTGGTACATGCGCACGCATGCATAACTCATCAATTACATTACTATAAC